TTGTTTGTGGATTTTGTGATCATTTCTTTTGTTTTTGTAGGTTTTGATTTTGCTGAGACTTTATGTTTTCGTCTTTAGTTTTATGAGTTGGTTTGTTAACTTTCTTTGTGGCTACCACGCAAATAAAATTTGCTGAAGATAATTAAAAAGTGGTTACAGTAGTACATCCACCGGGAAGTGCCAGAAATTCAAGCCAAATTCAGAAGAGGACATGGAATGAGGGATATCATTGTTGATGTCCAATGGATCTTGGCTGAAAGCAGAGAATACCAGAAAAATGTTTACCTGTGTTTTATTGACTACACAAAGACATTCGACTGTGTGGATCATGAAAAATTATGGACAAACATTGTGCAGAATGGGAATTCCAGAACACTTAATTGTGCTCATGCGGAACCTATGCATAGACCAAGAGGCAGTTGTTCCAACAGAACAAGTGGTTACTGTGTAGTTTAAAATCAGGAAAGATGTGCATCAGTGTTGTATCAGTTCACAGTTTTCTAAGAGGGAGATTAGGTTTCTAGCAGGGCTTTGACCCGTAATTTTTCCCATTCCAGTTATCATTCTACTTCACGCAAATTTTAAAAATTCAGGTCCATTCCAGTTTCACTTCCTTGGCCATGACTGAACTGGTTCGAAGCCCTGGTTGGAATAGATTCCACAGCAACTAACAACAGCAACATAGAGAAAAAGCACCATTGTCCATATGTAATTGAAAAAGACAAAACTTTTTAAAGAATTGTGTGGAATTAGAGTTCTACAGTAACACTTTGGGATGTACTGTCTAAGTCATAATTTCTTAATTTATCACAAACAGCCTGCTTAAAAGTCTTTCAAATCTAGACAAATTTATTAGCAAGAGAAAATATAATAATAATGACAGTAAAAAGGATAAAGGCTTATTTTACTTTCATCATAAGTCAATCAATGTAAATATTAGGTTTAAAAAAAAAAAAAAACCAAACCCATTGCCATCAAGTAGATTCTGACTCATAGCAACCCTAAAGAACAGAGTAGAACTGCCCCATAGGATTTCCAGGGAGCAGCTGGTGGATTCGAACTGCTGAGTTTTTGGTTAGCAGCTGTAGCTTTTAACCACTCTGCCTCCAGAGCTCCAAATATTTGGTTAAAGACTTCTTAAATAAATCGAAAGTCTTAAAATCTGCAGTCCTCAGCAACTTAAAGGATTGGATTGAGTCTCTTCTTAACCATTATTCTCATAGATTACAAATGTTATTTTTCTTTTGTTACTACAATCTTGAACATCAGACAGTTATGACCATAAGTCTTCTTTTCTCACTATTTCTAAAGCTTGGTCATATTCCCCAAATCAATTCTTTGGAGAACTTCTGCAGCAAGCAGGACTTAGATGAGTATCAGCTGTACAACTGTGCTGAAATTGCTCTGAAATGGGACCTCAGGTGCTCCCTGATGCATGTGAAAGACTTATAGTCAGCATGTCCGCCAAGATACACAATGGGGCAGTGGGTGAGTATCAGTCTAATAGACTCTACTGGGGCTCTGCTGTCTGTACAAACGCTTTTCAGAACGTGCGCACATCTATTTTAGCATCCACTCCACACAACCAATTTATATATCAATCACCCAATGATTAGATACACAGAGCAACCTGCTGATGTGTTGGAACCAGAATGTACAGTACAGTAAGTGTATAAAAGTGAAAGCTCGCAGTAGCGTCAGAAAGCTAGGCTGCTGGAACAATGGTCCTAAAAAATGTATGTGGAATCCTAAAATTTGGGGGCTGAAATGAACTCCAAACCATCTCTTTCATCTCAAAACCTGGATTTAATAAATGAGAGAATTAGAATCCAAAGATATTATGACTTGCCCCTGTCACTTAGCTATAGAGCACAGTTTCTCAACCTTGGTGCTATTGATATTGTTGGCTGGGCAATTATTTGTTCTGGGGTGCGGACAGTCTTGTGCATTGTTGAATATTTAGCATCATCCCTGCCCTCTACCCACCTGATACCAGCTGAACCCCTTCCTGCCAGTTGTCCCGTAGGGGCAGGGACGGATTCACCAGTAAGCACAGTATGCACCGGTTTACAGTAAGCAAGGTACACAAAGGCTGGATTGTGTTTACTTACTAATCTGTAGTACAGATTGATGTGGTGAAACTCAGGTAAAAAGATGTGGTGAAACTGCACTACAGATTGGCAAATAAACACAATTAAGCTGTGCGTACCTTGCTTATTGGGTAATCCGTCCCTGCATAGGGGGCAAAATCACACTCCCCACCCCATTTGAGAATCACTGCTAGAGAGTGACAGTTAAAATGAGAGCTTGGACTTCCTGAGTTTTAGGCAAATGTGTTTTCCATTTTATTATAGGGTTATGGATTAAGGGTGCCCGTAATCTCATGAAAGATATGGAATAGGGGAAATCAAAAACCGGTAGGTATTGAAAATAACAAGTGCTGGCTAGGATATGAAGAAATTGGAACCCTGGTATATTACTGGTGGGAATGTAAAATGGTACAACTGCTGTGGAAAACAATTTGGCAGTTCCTCAAAAAGTTAAACACAGAATTACCATATGACCCAGCAATTCCACTCCTAGGTATAGACTCAAAAGTCTTGAAAGCAGGGACTGAAACAGATACTTGTACACCAATGTCTTTTGCAGCACTATTCATAATAGCCAAAAGGTGGAAACAACTCAAGTGTTCTTCAACAGATGAATAGGTAAACAAATTGTGGTATATCCATACAATGGAATATTATTCAGCCATAAGGAGAAATGAAGTTCTGATACATGTGACAACATAGATGAACCATGAAAACATTACGCTGGATAAAATAAGTCAGACACAAAAGGACGATTATTGTATGATCCCATATATATGAAATATCTGTGTTAGGTAAATGCATAGAGACAAAAGTTGATTAGTGGTTACAGCGGTAATTAGAAAGAGGGCAGATGGGGAGATATTGCTTAATCGGTACTAAATTTCTATCTAGGGTAATGAAAAACGTTTGAAAATGAATAGTGGTGATGGTTGCATAACATGGTAAATGTAATTAATGTCACCAAATTGTACACTTAAAAATGATTAAAATGGTAAACGTTTTGTTACATGTATTTCACCACAACTGAAAAAACAAACAAACGATAGATACACTCCAGGATAGTAGGCTGCAATGTAGAACATCAGAAATTGAAGTCATAACAATGGCAATAATAATAATGTTAAAACAATTCATTTAAGCCTTTCGTTAACTTTTAAAGTTTATTGGGTACTTAACTATGTGCCAAGCACTGTTCTATGTACTTCAAAGCCATCATTCATTTAATCCTTACGACAATACCATGAGGCAGATCCTATTATCTCCATTTAACAAATGAGGACATTTAAGGATTAGAGAGGTATCAAATGAAAGAGAGGTGAACTAAAGCCACTAACAGGATGAGACACTCTCCCACTTCCTTCACCTCTAACTGCTTGCTTTGTTCCCTGCAGCTTGCAAGTGTCATCCCCAGGGCTCGGTGGGGGCCAGCTGCAGCTGACTCGGAGGCCAGGGCCAGTGTAGACCGGGCGTGGAGGGGCGCTGCTGTGACAGGTGCTCAGCAGGAAGCTACGGTCTGGACCATCACGGTTGTCACTGTACGTCTGGAAAACAGACGGAGGGAACACCCACCCTGGGAGTTTGAAGGCAGGCAAAGCAATGTGCGGAGTTTAAAAGGGAGGGGCTCATGGAAATTTGGCTACCTTATTCAGACTGTCTATGTAGATAAAATGTACTGGAATTTTTTTCTACTGTACTTCAGTCATCCATACAATGGGCACCGACCATGCACAGAGCTCTATTAGGTACCATGAGGGATGAACAAAACACAGTCTGTTCCTTCTGGAAGTTTACAGTCGGTATAGAATGGATCGTAGTCCAGGGTGAGGAGCCCCTGGGTAGTGCAAACGGTTAACGTACACAGCTACTAACAGAAAGGATGAAAGTTATAGTCCACCCAGAGGTGCCTCAGAAGAAAGCCCTGGTGATTTACTTCTGAAAAATCAGCCATTGAAAACTCTACGGAGCACAGTTCTACTCTGACATACATGGGGTTGCCATGAGTCACAGTCAGTAAAATGTGGGAACACAATGAAGGGAGTTGGATGTGCAAACCCAGCTCTATTATCTGTCACATAAACCCAGTGGCCGGAAAGGCTAAAACAAGGATGAGATTGGGAAGACGAGAAAGAGGACAACTTTGTTACCACAGGAGAGACCTCCCCCGATGCTGAGATTGCAAACAGCCTTGGAACTCATAAGCCACCCATTAGTAAGGACATAGTTGGGCTTCATTCAGAATTGATGATTTAGGCCTCATGGCTGTTGTGTTCAGAGAATATAGTCATCTGTTCACAATGTTAAACAATTAGAGAAAACACTGTTCCCCACTGAAGGCTGCCTCAGGAACCATAAAATCCTCCAGGAGGTTGACTCTCCTCTTGGGTGGAGTCAGAGAGATGGCTCACCCTGCTGGTCATTTCCTGGGCACGGTTGCCTACCTGCATAGCACTTAGTTCATCATTTGCTTTTTCTTTCTTTTGTTTTTAAAAAACATTGTGAAGTGTTTGAGATACACGAAAGATCAAACACTTCTACGTACAACCCTGTCAGACAAACAGGCAGCTCAAAGGGTCCAACAATTTACCAGAAAAGGATTGCGCCTTTACTGTCTCATCTAGAAAAAAGAAAAATCTGGCCATCTTGAGAGGCGTTCATATACATATATATATTTTTTAATCTGAAAGTTGAATCGTAAGATAAGTGGAAATTTAACTCATTGAAAACTCATTGGAAATGTAACTCATTGGTTCTTCTGTACATGGGCGGATGACCCAGTAAGCAAGGTAAGCACAAGTAAACCCGTCATCTATCCCTGTCAGGGACTGTAAATTTGAAAAGAGACTTTGATTCTGTAGGAAGGTACTGTGGGATTGGGAGAGAGACAGATGGCAGCCACACCTAGAAGCAGAATCTTTGATGTGGTGCAAAAATGTGAACCTGTTCACTACAGATGATCTGGTAAGCAAGGTAAGCACCGTGCTAACCTTGCCTGTTGGGTAGTCCACCCCCGCCTCTGTATAAACAACAAAAACGTGTAAGTCTCAGTTGTTCACTAGGTGCTGTCCCGTAGTGGTTTAGTAAATGAATTAATGCATTCTTATTTAGCAAACATTTATCTGGTACTCATTATATGCTAGGCTCTGTTCTAAACACTTTCCCGACTCACCTTATTCACTTTGATTGAGATGATACAGAAAGTTAAAAACAAAGAACCCGGTGCTGTGGAGTTGAGTCCAGAAAACCTCACGTGCGTCAGAGTAGTACTGGGCTCCATAGTGTTCTCAGTGGCTGGTTTTTGGAGGTAGATCACCAGGTCTTTCTTCTGAGGTGCCTCTGAATGAACTCAAACCTCCAATCTGTCAATTAGCAGCCTAGCACAGCTTTGACCATTTGTACCACCCAGGGACTATGGTAAGTCAGGGAATGTAAAAATCAGAACTGTAACCCTTTCACCACCACACCACTCACCCCCCAAACTCTCAACACGGCTTCTCTTTGCTTTATCCAGCACGTCACTGCCACCCTCAAGGCTCAAAGAACACTTTATGTGACCAAATAACTGGACAGCGCCCCTGCCCAGAGAGGCAGCTGGCCGCCGCTGTGATCAGTGCCTGGCTGGCTATTTCGGATTTCCCAGCTGCCACCCTTGCCCTTGTAATGGGTTTGCTGAGCTTTGTGACCCGGAGACAGGGTCATGCTTAATTGTGGCAGTGTTACAACGGGACGAAACTGTGAAAGTTATGGAATTAATACACACTTTTTTTTTTTTTTGCCTTTTGTTCTGATCCCATAACATTCTCTGAAAGACCACTGAGTAGAAACTCAACAGTATTTAAGTGTGAAATGAATGCTATGGGGTGGGGGAAGGTGGAATATCATTCCATCATCCTTCAAAATCATTTTATGAGCCAGAAAAATATTTGATTAAATCAATAACACACATTTTTCTGGCACTTTGCTTTTTATGTTCCTGAAATGTGATATATAAATCAAGCATGATTATATTGAGTTCAGTGACTGTACTTTGAGACTTTCACTATAAAAAAAATAAAAAAAATCCTTTTACAGAGCAAATGATCACCTTCTAAAATATTGAGTTTTGTAAGTCACACCATCCTAAAGCATAGCAAATCCACATGGTTAATATGTGAGCTTGTCCTGGGAACATTTTGGAAAAAGGAAATTGCCTTGACAGGGGCATCGATGGTTACTATGGAAATCCTTCTTCAGGGCAATCCTGCCATCCTTGTCTGTGTCCAGATGCTCCCTCAAGCAGTCGGTATGTCGCTCATTCCTGCTATCAGAATCCTTGGAGCTCAGACGTGATCTGCAATTGTCTTCAAGGTTATGCAAGTATGCAGCATAGTGCATCATGATATTTTCTTCTATCCCACACTGCTAACTGAAAAATGATCACATGTTCATAATGCATCTGCCTTGGACAAATGAGTGCTGCAGAATATAAGGTAAGTGAATAGCAAGAAGATAAACTAGAAAAAAAAACCAAACCTGTTGCCGTCGAGTCGATTCTGACTCATAGCAACCATATAGGACAAAGTAGAACTCCCTATAGGGTTTCCAAGGAGCAGCTGGTGGATTCCAACTGCCAACGTTTTGGTTAGCAGCCAAGCTCTGAACCACTGGGCCACCAGGGCTGCACTAACAAGATAAAACTTGGTAAATCGCTGCTTTATTGAACGAAGAATTGGAATGTACCAAAAGCCAATGACTGAGTTAAAAACTCATTCCACTGAGCTGTAATTGTTTCTAAATGATGTTCTGGGAAACCGACTGATCAAATGAGATCAAATTAATTGATTATTATTTTATTTGTTTTATTATGTATTAATTTATTATTTATGTGTTAATATCATTATTTAAGTAAGTTTATATAACAAACAATTAAAAAGTAAAAAATTTAGTCAGTCTAATGCTTTTTTGGGGTATAATACTATGCAGTCAGTTTGACTGATATTTCAAAGATTGATCTGATTTTTTTGAGATGTCTTGAATCAATGTTTTAGGCCTTGTTTTGGCCCTGGGTGTTACGCGTTTTGGCCTGGAGTGGCACAAATGGTCAACTGTGGGGCTACTAACCAAAAGGTTGGCAATTTAAACCCACCCGGAGGTGCCTGGCAATCTGCTTCTGAAAGGTCACAGCCATGAAAACCCTATGGAGTGCGGTTCTATGTGAACACCAGGAGTTGCCATGAGTCGCCTTGAAAGCAACTGGGGTTTTTTGTGTATTTGTTTTTTACAGACACTGTATAAGCCCTGATGGCGCAGTGGTTAAGAGCTCAGCTGCTAACCAAAAGGTCGGTAGTTAGAATCCACCAGCCGCTCCTTAGAAACCCTCTGGGGCAGTTCTACTCTGTCCTAAAGGGTCACTATGAGTCGGAATAGACTCACTATGAGTCAGAATAGACTTGACGGAAACAGGTTTGGTTTGTTTTTGGTACGTATAAGTCTTAATTCAGAATATGTATCTGACACTCAATCAAAAATTTTGTTTTGAAGAGTTTTAGCATAAGTGTGACTGTGTAATGCAAACAAGAAAATCTTATAAAGTCTACTTGATTTAATCATACTTAGAAAAGATGACATTATTATCTTTAGTGACAGTTATCATCATGATAATAAGTTACAGGGCTAATTTTTTTCTTATTTGTTATTTCTAAGGTTACACATGTCTCTATTTAATTCTTACCCCCTCTGCCCCTTCTCCATGCACAGCTTGGCTTGTTTAGTCAGTTTTTAGTAACTGGGACCATGTTTGTGGCTACAACAGCATGTCCAAATGGGATGAACCAAAACATGGAAAGTGTCACAGCTTGGGCACCTAAACAACTGCAGTTTGCTTAGTGGTTGGAAAGACAAAGGGTATTGGACAGAAGGAATGGTTTCTCCACCCAGTGCTTAATAAAAACACCTTCAAGGTGTGTGTCAAGTACGTAACACTCAACTCACCTATCTTCACTTCCTTCACTTCACTTCACTTGCGTGTCTCAGGCTGTTGCCACTTGGTCTTTTTCTTCAAGGCTGCTTCATGGTGTTCATTTGAACCATGTTTCATCTCTAAGACCAGGTGAAGGTGGGAAGCAGCAGGGAGAACAGGAACTGAGATTAGCTTTGGGTCCTGAGCACACTAGGGTGACCTTGGTTATATAAGGATGTATGAATCCTGTGCCCATGACTCCGTAATTTTTGGAGAAAGACTGGAATCTATTCTTCATCAAGGCATTTTTAGTTCTGAATAATCTTTTTATTCTCTGAATGGGTAATAAATAAAAATGAATATTTTATTTTAATTTAGAATACTTTTCCTTATTCATCCCAAATATGTGGCTTCTCATCATGCCTAGAGGAGGCCAATTATTCTCTATTTACAACAGTCTCCACCCCTGCACCCCACCCCACCCTCCCAAACACAGTCTTCTCATCCCATGCCCTTTCCCTGCCCCCTCTCCCTCTTGCAGGTATTCAGTATGGAAAATGCTCAGCAGGTATCTATGGAAATCGAAGAATTTCAGGAGCACCTTGCCAGCCATGCTCCTGCAATAACAACATCAATGTGACCGATCCAGAAGCCTGCAGCTGGGTCACAGGGGAGGGCCTGAGATGTCTGCACAACACTCAGGGCCCGAACTACCAACTCTGCAAACCCGCTCACTTTGGATCAGCCCTCAATCAAACCTGCAGTAGTAAGTTTGCAAGGCTCCCAGTAGGAAATGCGGTGGTTGAGTGGCAGCTTGAAGATGTGGTGTCAGCTCCCCTGTGCTCATTTCAGCTGGTCCAATCCCAGCAAGCAAAAGGAGCCCCCAGTGGGTGATAGGGCGGCTGCACTGAACTCATTAGCAGAGGCACTGGGTGGAATGCCGCCACCCTAGGCATATTCCGATGCAGCCGCAATGTAGTCACTGGTGTTATTAGTTTGCCTTTTGTGACTTTTACCTTTGACACCTGTCCTAGTGGATTCGAAACATTGTTTCTCAGAGTGTGGATCATGGTGCACCTGTGCCAGAACCACCCTGGGGCAGGAAACAGTGCCTCAGACCCACTGCATCAGAATCTGCACTGTAACAATCTTATCAAATGGCTTTAATGTAAAATACGATAATCATTGATTTAGAAGATGACAAAGGTTTGAGTCTATGATAAAGGGAAGGAACAAACTGCGCGTTTTTTAGAAATATCTTAATACATCAGTTCACCCAAATTAATTTAGTACACCTTTTTTTCCAGCTTATTTCAATAAGTGGAACTTTGGTGAATGGCATAAGCAAAAAGTGAGCAATGGAATGATTCTAACTGTGGGCTCTTGGAACATAGTAGGTTGAACCATATGAAATCAAAAATAGTTGAATGGGTTCAACCTATTTATATTCTTTGATAAATAGTGGTTAAGCATTTGGCTGCTAACCAAAAGGTCGGCAGTTGGAATCCACCAGCTGCTCCTTGGAAGCTCTGTGGGGCAGTTCTGCTCTGTCCTATAGGGTCACTGTGAGTCAGAATTGACTGGATGACAACGGGTTTGGTTTTCTTGGTTTTTATTATGCTATCAGGAGTCCCTGGGTGGCACTAACGGTTAATTGCTCAACTACCAGCCAAAAGGTTGGCAGTTTGAACCCACCCAGAGACACCTCGGAAGACAGGCCAGGAGATCTTCTTCCGAAAGTTCACAACCTTGAAAACCCTGTGGAGCACAGTTCTACTCTGCACACGTGGTGTTGCCATGAGTTGGAAACAACCAGATGGCAACTGGAGAAATGTTACATGCAGGCCTAACAAGCTGTTTGTGTAGTTTGTTAAATCCCGGCATTATCATTGGTTTTTGCCTCTAAATACCGCTTTGTGATCCCAGGATGCTCCTGCCATACTTCCGGTGTACATTCCACTGAGTGTCCCTCAGGTCAGCGACCCTGTCTCTGTGACCCTGCCGCTGGCTCGTGCCCGTGTCTGCCGAATGTCACTGTCCTGGCCTGTGATCGCTGTGCTGACGGATACTGGAATCTGGTTCCTGGCAAAGGATGTCAGTTATGCGACTGTGACCCCCAAACTTCTCAAAGTAGCCACTGTGACCAGGCAAGATACTTAAAACTTACTAGTGTGCTCAGTCTAAGAACTGACAGTGAGACATAGTTCCAAATATGGAAAGAGCATTTTCTTTATCTACCGTTGTTAACTAGTGTTTTAGACAGGATCAGCCTTACCCAGGCATTGGGTTGCAGTTATCAAGGAATGAAAAGCACCAGAAAAAGAGAACGAGGGTCTCAACATTAAGCTTTGTCTGCTTCTGTTTTCTCTAGGCCGCTCTGTGATGGGGGAAGTCAGAATTCATAGAAAAAAAAGCACAGACGAACTTTCCTTTCACTATTTCATACACATAATCACAGGGAAGACCCATGAAATTGATTGTTAATCAGAATTATTAATCAGAATGAAAATAAGCAGGTTCAGGACCCATATTCCATTTTTAAAGATCAGGCTATCCTTCCCGTGTGGTTTACCAATTGCTTTACGTATGAGTAAGTGATACAAGAGACCAGCACCCATTGTTCTAAAGAAGGCAGGCTACTGTGCTCGCAGCAAATCCACAATGTTTAGTATACAACTAGTGCTACTTAACTGCACATGTGATTTTCTGCCAATTAAACAATGTTCACAGAATTTATAAAAAGAATATAGTATTATTTATGGAGAAAACTGTTAATATCATAATTAGTTTTTTTGGCTTAATGAATACATTCTTTGAAACCCTTTTCATGTTAGTAGAGATTAAGTGGGGGAAAGGATAAGACGATTGAAAAAATATGACAAGACATTTTAGAAAGAGTCAGATTTGCAACATAGGGATCAGGGTTTAGCTGAAATCAAAACGCTAACTTAAGAAGCCAGGGTCTTTCCACGTAATAAGCAGGGCTCACCTCTCATTTCAGCTCCCATGTTCAACTCCTTATTCAAAGGTCAAATCTTAGATAAACTTTTCAAGGTAATTCTTATACGTAGAATGTGTTTTCTTTTCTCTTCCTTTCTCTCCTTCCTTCCCCTGCTACGCATATCCACCATCTCCTTCTTTAAAAAATAAACTTTTTTATTTTAGAATAGATTCAGATTTACAGGCAAGTTATGAAAATAGTACTGAGTTCCCTTGTATACCACACCCAGTTTCTGCTGTTATTAACATCTACGATTAGTGTGGTACGTTTGTCACAGTTAATGAACCAATACTGATACTATGTTATTAACTACTCTCCATACTTTATTCAGATTTCCTCAGCTTTTTACCTAATGTCCTTTTTCTGGTCCAGGATCCCACTCAGGATACTACATTACATTTAGTTGTCATGTCTCCTTAGGCTCTTTTTGGCTGTAACAGTCTCTTAGACTCTTTTTTTTAATTTTTTATTTATTGTACTTTAGATGAAGGTTTACAGAACAAATAGTTGCTCATTAAACAGTTAGTACACATATTGTTTTATGACAGTGGTTAACAACCCCATGACATGTCAAGACTGTCCCTTCTCAACCTTGGGTTTCCTATTATCAGCTTTCCTGTCCCCTCCTGCCTTCTAGTCCTTGTCCCTGGACTGTTGTGCCCCATCAGTCTCGTTTTGTTTATGGGGCTGTCTAATCTTTGGCTGAATGGTGAACCTTGGGAGTGACTTCATTACTGAGCTAAAAAGGTGTCCAGGGGCCATGCTCTTGGCATTTCTCCAGTCTCTGTCAGGCCTTGTTTTTGATGACCTTGACAGTTTTGAGGAGTGCTGGTTATTAGTATTTGTAGAATGTTCCTCACTTGGGACTTGTCTGATGTTTTTCTGATGGTTACACTGGGATAATGTATTCTGGCGAGTAAGACGACAGAGGTAAAGTGCCACTTTCATCGTATCATAGTAACAATGCATACTATCAACATGGCATCGCTGTTGATGCTGATGTTGATCACCTGTAAGGTCAGGTTTTCTCCACTGTAAACTTACTCTTTCTTCCCCTTCTTTCCATGCTGCATTCTTTGGAAGGTAGTCTCTACTTGCAACCCACACGTAAGGAGTGGAGAGTTATGCTCTATCTCCTGAGGGTGGAGTATTTATATAAATTATTTGAAATTCTTCTGGATGGGAGATTTGTCTGTTCTCCGCTATTTATTTATTTACTGTCTTTAAGTAAAAGTTTACAACTGAAGTTAGTTTCTCATACAAAAATTTATACACTCATTGCTATGTGACCCTAGTTGCTCTCCCCATACTGTGACAGCACACTCCTCCTTTCCACTCCAGATTTCCTGCGTCCATTCAACCAGCTCCTGATCCTCTCTGCCTTCTCCTCTTGCCTCCGAACAGGAGCTCCCATTTAGTCTCACGTATCTACTTAGCTAACAAGCACACTCTTCACGAGTTATCATTTTATGTCCCATAGTCCAGTCTAATCTTTATCTGAAGAGTTGGCCTCGGGAATGGCTTTAGTTTAGGGCTAACAAAGAGTCCGAGGGCCATGTCTTCCGGGGTCCCTCCAGTCTCAATCAAACCATTAAGTCTGGTTTTTTTACGAGAATTTGAGTCTGCACCCTACTTTTCTCCTGCTCCATCAGGGACTCTATGTTGTGTTCCCTGTCAGGGCGGTCATCAGTAATAGCCCGGCACCATCTAGTTCTGGTCTCAGTTTGATTGAGTCTCTGGTTTATGTGGCCGTTCCTGTCTCTTGGTCTAATATTTTCCTTGTATCTTTGGTGTTCTTCATTCTCCTTTACTCCAGGTGGGTTGGGACAAATTGATGCATCTTTGATGGCCGTTTGCTAGCTTTTAAGACCCCAAACGCCACTCACCAAAGTGGGATGCACAACATTTTCTTAATAAACTTTGTTATGCCAACTGACCTAGAAGTCCCCTGAAACCGTGGTCCCCAGACCCCTGCCCATGCTACGGTCCCTCGAAGTGTTTTGTTGTTTTCAGGAGACTTCTTAGCTTTTGGTTTAGTCCAGTTGTGCTGACTTCCCCTGTAGTGTGTGTTGTCCTTCCCTTCACCTAAGATAATTCTTGTCTGCTATCTAGTTTGTGGACACCCTTTTTCCTCCCTGCCCACCCACATAACTATCAAAGAATGTTTTTTTCTGTGTTTAAACCTTTTCTTGAGTTCTTATACTAGTGGTCTTATACAAATATTTGTCCTTTTGCAACTGACTAAATTCACTCAGCATAATGCCTTCCAGATTCCTCCATGTTATGTTTCACGATTTCATCATTGTTCTTTATCATTGCATAGTATTCCATTGTGTGAATATACTGTAATTTGTTTATCCATTCATCCGTTGATGGGCACCTAGGTTGTTTCAATCTTTTTGCTAGCATGAACACCGCTGCAATGAACATGGCTGTGCATATATCTATTTGTACAATGGCTCTTATTTCTCTAGGATATATTCCAAGGAGTGGGATTACTGGATCGTATGGTACTTCTATTTCTAGCTTTTTAAGGAAGCGCCAAATCGATTTCCAAAGTGGTTGTACTATTTTACATTCCCACCAACAGTGTATAAGTGTTCCAGTCTCTCCACAACCTCTCCAGCATTTATTATATGGTGTTTTTTGGATTAATGCTAGGCCTCATTGGGGTGAGATAGTATCTCACTGTAGTTTTGATTTGCATTTCTCTGATGGCTAATGATTGTGAGCATTTCCTCATGTGTCTGTTAGCTGTCTGAATGTCTTCTTTGGTGAAGTGCCTCCTCATACCCTTTGCCCATTTTTTAACTGGGTTATTTGTCTTTTTGTTGTTAAGGTTTTGCAGTATCTTGTAGATTTTAGAGATTAGATGCTGATCAGATTTGTGGTAGCCAAAAATTTTTCCCAGTCTGTAGGTTGTCTTTTTACTCTTTTGGTGAAGTCTTTTGATGAGCATAAGTGTTTGATTTTTAGGGGAATGCTTTCAGACTCTCTCCATTTAGGATGATGTTGGTTGTTGATTTTGTATAAATGCCCTTAATTATGTTGAGGAATTTCCCTTCTATTCTTATTTTGCTGAGAGTTTGTATCATGAATGGGTATTGGACTTTGTCAAATGACTTTTCTGCATCGATTGATAGGATCATGTGGTTCTTGTCTTTTGTTTTATTTATGTGACAGATTACATTGATTGTTTTTCCAACGTTGAACCATCCCTGCATACCTGGCATAAATCCCACTTGATCATGGTGAATTATTTTTTGATTGTTGAATTCTGTTGGCTAGAATTTTGTAGAGAATTTTTGCATCAATGTTCATGAGGAATATTGATCTGTAATTTTCTTTTGTTGTGTTGTCTTTACCTGGTTTTGGTATCAGGGTTATGCTGGCTTCATAGAATGAGTTTGGGAGTATTCCATCCTTTTCTATGTTCTGAAATACCTTTAGTAGTAGTGGTGTCAACTCTTCTCTGAAAATTTGGTAGAATTCTCCAGTGAAACCGTCCAGACCAGGGCTTCTTTTTGTTGGGAGTTTTTTAATTACCTTTTCAATCTCTTCGTTTGTTATGGGTTTATTTAGTTGTTCTACCTCTGTTTGTGTTAGTTTAGGTAGGTAGTGAATTTCTAGAAGCTTGTCCATTTCCTCTAGGTTTTTGAATTTGTTAGAGTACAATTTTTCATAGTGTTCTGTTATGATTCTTTTAATTTCAGTTGGGTCTGTTGCGATATCACCCATTTTATTTCTTGTTTGGGTAACTTCCTTCCTCTTCTGTTTTTCTTTTGTCAGTTTGGCCAATGGTTTATCTATTTTATTGATCTTTTCAAAGAACCAGGTTTGGTCTTGTTAAGTCTTTCAATTGTTTTTCTATTTTCTATTTCATTTAATTCTGCTCCAATTCTTATTATTTCCTTTCGTCTGGTGCCCGAGGGCTTGTTTTGCTGCTCTCTTTCTACTTGTTCCAGTTGTAAGGTTAATGTTTTGATTTTGGCCCTTTCTTCTTTTCAGATGTGTGCATTTATTGCTATGAACTGACCTCTGAGCACTGCTTTTGCTGTGTCCCAAAAGTTCTGGTAGGATGTGTTTTCATTCTCATTTGATTCTGTGAATATCTTTATTCCATCTTTAATTTCTTCTATAACTCAG